CTCAGGCACACAGGCTCCACATCCCTTAGGATCCATATGTCCACCATTGCAGTGCTTGTATGTTAATGCTGCATTGTCTGTTGGATATTTCAGTTCCCTTTACATAAGATTTGCCATCCAAGGCCAGGCACTTTCATTATTGTCTCATATCCTGTTTCCGGCATCAGCTGATGCTGGAGGCTTCAGAAGGTAAAAATTTGCCACAATAACAAAGTAATATTACTAAGTTATCGATTAAGATGCCCAGACAGGTTACATGAAGTTACACTGAGAGTCAGTGACACAATCAAGAATAGAATCCAGCTCTTCCGGGCTTCTATTCCTCTAACTACTAAAAACTACTATTTCTCAAATCTCCTCATAGGTGATTATGGGGACCAGATGTCCTGATTTTTTAGGGACAGTCCCAATTTTTTTTTTCTTATATAGGCTCCTATTACCCCTGTCAGGGTTCCCTCCCCACTCTGAACTCGAGGGTACAGATGTGGGGACCCACATGAAAGACCCCCTAAGCTTATTTCTACCAGCTTAGGTTAAAACTTCCCCAAGGCACAAATTCTTTGCCCTTGGAGGGTACGCTGCCAGCACCAAGTGATTTAACAAAGAATCAGGGAAAGGACCACTTGGTGTTCCTATTCCCCCAAAATATCCCCCCAAGCCCTTCCATCCCCTTTTCTGGGGAGGCCTGAGAATAATATCCTAACCAATTGGTTACAAAGTGATCACAGACCCAAACCCCTGGGTCTTAGGACAATAGAGAAATCAGTCAGGTTCTTAAAAGAAGGATTTTATTTTAAAAAAAGGTAAAAATCACTTCTGTAAAATCAGGATGGAAAATAACTTTACAGGGTAACAAAAGATTTGAAAACACAACAGGACTTCCTCTAGGCATAGTTTCAAAGTTACAAAAATGGGAATAAACCTCCCTCCAGCAAAGGAAAAATTCACAAGCAAAACAAAAGATAATCTAACACGCCTTGCCTGGCTTTTACTTACATTTTTTGTAATATGAGAGACTTTTAGGATGGTTTATAGAAGGAGTTTTCTGACCTGATGTTTCTCTGCTTCCCAAGAGAACACACAAAACAAAGCCTTACCCCCCTCCCCCTGCCCACAAGATTTGAAAGTATCTTCTTTCCCCATTGGTCCTTTTGGTCAGGTGCCAACCAGGTTATCTGAGCTTCTTAACCCCTTACAGGTAAGGAGGAATTCTAGGCTACCCTTAGCTGTATGGTTATGGCAACCCCCTATTCCCATCCTGATTTTTCACACTTGCTGTCTGGTCACCCTATTGGTTATCAAATCTCTCCATCCAAGGACTAGAATCTTTCACAGGCCCTTGTTTTCAAAGGCATCTAGTTTTCTAGATAACATTTTAATAGGTCTTCAGCTCTTGCTACCATATGTTAGCACTGAGATTGCATTCCAGTTGAAAATTCTGTTTTGTTTTGGTACTGTGTATCTTTCATGTCCATATGTTGTTGAATTTACTGGATGCTGTGGATGCCTTTCCTATTCTTAATGTCACTTCTTTCTTGAGGTCTCCATTCACTAATATAGTAATGACCAAGTAAATGAACTGTTTCAGCCTTCTTGATGTTTTTGCCTTCTATCTTCCCTTTTTGAGAAAGGTTATTCAGAAGATGGTGATTGAGCAGCTTCAGTCCCATCTGGAAACAATTATATTTTCTGACACCTTTCATTCTGGATTAGATCATCCTACACCATGTAGAAAGACCTTAACATGATGGATCACCTTCTCCTAGCAATGGACAAAAGAGATATGTCTTTGCTACTAATGCTATATACAGGCTTCCACGGGAGGTTGTGGAATCCTGTCATTGGAGGTTTTTAAGAACAGGTTGTTAGACAAACACCTGCCAGGGATGATCTAGATATATTTGGTCCTGCCTCAGCACAGGGGCCTGGACTTGATGACTTCTTGAGGTCCCTTCCAGCCCTACATTTCTATGATTCTATACCAGCAAGAGAGAAAATCATAGGGTTTTGATATATAAAGGCTGTCCAATAAGGGGGAGAGAAGGGCTAGAAGGTACAAGTTATGACATGCCCTAACACAGTGGCTCTTAACCTTTCCAGACTACTGTACCCCTTTCAGGAGGCTGATTTGTCTTATGTACCCCAGGTTTCACCTCACTTAAAAACTACTTGCTTACAAAATCAGACATAAAAATACAAAAGTGACACAGCACAGTATGATTGAAAAAAATGCTTATTTTCCCATTTTTATCATATAATTATAAAATAAATCAACTGGAATATAAATATTGTACTTACTTTTCAATGTGTAGTATACAGAATAGTATAAACAAGTCATTTTCTGTATAGAATTTTAGTTTGTACTGACTTCGCTAGTCCTTTTTATGTAGCCTGTTGTAAAACTAGGCAAATATCTAGATGAGTTGGTGTACCTCCTGGAAGACCTCTGCATACTCCCAAGTGTAGATGTAACATTGGCTGAGAACCACTGCCCTAACAGATGTGTGCTGGAGATAAAATGTCTTGACAATAAAACAATATGCATGTGTTAGGACATAGTGAAGCCTAGCTTCTTGTTTCCTCCAGATGTGATATGACTCTTTGCATTGCCCAGAGACAAGCCAGGGCCCCTTACCAATGGGACATCCTTAACATTATTATTATTACTAATAATAATACCTAGTTCTTATATACCATTTAAGCACTGTATATTTGCATGTTGCTATATATGTGAATCATCACTGTCGGTATACTGTTCTGGAATACTTAAAAGATTATCAGCACACTAAACAAGTAACACCTCAATTCTGCAGGTCTGATGGATGATCCTCAATTTAGCATTTTAAAAGAGTAGCAAACTCCTCTTTTGGAGGCAGGAGCCAGGAAGGAATTTTTTACTGATCTTGTTTTTACCCACCCACAGACTGGCGTGCTTATTCTCCTTTGGCACAAAAAGATTTTAGAAGTTTAATAGAATGTTTGTTAAGGACTTAAAGATTTTAAAATTAAAAAAGTACAGGATACCATTTAATTACTATCTCATGCAGATGTAAAATTTAATACTTTCTAATGAATTTTTTAAAAATTCCAGGCTGCAAAACTAGTCCCCAAGAAGGCAAATATACATATACATGCTCCCCCCTGAAATAATTTAAATAGTTTATACCTAAACATTGGTGGTCTGTCTTAAGACAGATGGCCAAATTCTGCACGCTGTAGTTATGCATGTATTTTGGGGCCAATAGGATTTTTTTTTTTTGCATGAGTAAGACTACCAAAATATAGGCTCCTTTAGAAGGTTAACAAATAGCAAATATCAGGTTTGTTTTATTTCAGTAGCTACATCATTAGTAAAAGAATCAAATGAATAAATCCAAAGAACTCCAAAAGGTTCTTTTTCCCCTTGCTATCATGTTGTACATTAATATCTGTTATATTTAGCACACATTTGCTGTAATAAATAAAGTTATCAAATAATGACATTAGGCCAAGGACTGAATGGGCAGGAAACTGACCTAACTTCTAACCCCTAGTAGTGGTTGTCCTTCCAGGTTAGGTTTGAGACAGCTTGGCAGAGCAATGTAGAGAAGCTCCCTTCTATGTGTTTTCTGTGCATAAATAGAAGACTTCGAAGCTATCAATCAAAACCTTTGCAAGGATAAATTCACACAAGCCAGAGAGAGAGAGAGAGAATGCTGAGGGAGAGCATTATGTATCTAGATTAATCAAATCCATTCTATTTAAGATATTTCTAGGGCATCCAGCACCAAAGTCTCCTTTGAAGCTCACACACAGAGACTCTTGAGCTTGAGCCATTCCAACTAGACTGTGAAAATAACTTTCTGCAGGTTCAACACAGTAGCAACGTAGTCTGCACTGCAGCTAGGTATCAGCCCCCTTTCATTTACTACACTGAGGGAGGGGGAAGGCAGCGCTGGCCTCCGCTTGCTGTTTCCTCTCTCGATGGCTCTCCGTTTCTCCAGCAGGCTGGCGCGTTCCTGCCCAACCTCACATGTCTGGGGGGGGGCGGAAGGGGGGGATCTTAAGAAGCCGAAAAAAACCCATCCCCAAACGAGACTATGAAAAACAACATTTCTGAGCTCTACTCAGTTCCAATAGCAACACGAAACTATGTGCCGTTTATGTATTTCACGAAATGGCTCCTGGCACAACTGTCAGTCCCTTTCGGTCTGCATCCATTCCTGGGGGCTTCCTTTTAGTCTTATTTGGGCACGTGCTAGGGTGCGGGAGAATAAGGGACCGAGGAGTGCTGACAGAAGCTGCAATCTTCCCACACAAAGCTCTGTGAGTGCCCTTCATTCCCGAGCGGCCCTAACCCGTTAGTCTGTGCATAACTGGCTGATATACTTCTATCTTGATCTGCAGCCCTCACCCCAACCTCCCCTCCAGACCTCCAGCCAATGCACCTGGCTCCTGACCTGCACTAGCCTCTGCTCTGCCCTTTCAGTCCTGGGTTCCCACACAATTTAATCAATTCACCTCAGCCTGACCTGCAGCATCCCTCCTGCTATTCCAGCCCTAGGAATCCACGGTGCTCAGCCCAGGCACTCAGCCCTGATAACAGCACCCCTTGCTATCCCAGACCTGGACCTCTTCTGAGCTGAGGCTGCCAAACTGCGTGGTGATGATTATGCGGTGCCGACCACACAATCTCCATACATTTGAACCCAAATCTCCAGAGATGAAAGGCCCCTCCGTGAACTCACCACTCACAGCACCACCCCCTATCTAACTCCCCTTCTCCTTTCAGGCAGGGATTTCGCCCGCTTGATGCTTGCAGCTTCCCCCTTTCTCTCCCTCTGGGCTTTTATATTTCTTCCACTCTGACCCATTAAGTATTTACTGACAGCGCCATGTGACTTTTAACACCGGTCCTCCATGTGCACTGCCCTGCAGAATTGGGCCAGATAAAACCGCTCCCCAAACCCAGCTGGCGGGACATTTTCCTCCCCCTCCACTCTCTCACTGTAGCAGCCAAGCGAAGGATTCCTCTTTCTTTCCCTCTTTCTTTTCCCATCCCTCCCTCCTTTCGTGCAAGCCCAACACGCAGGATCCTGCCGAGGAAAAGTGCCCATTGAAATCATCACCACCACCGATCCTGCGCCTGAGGCTCATAGAAGAAATAAAACCCCTTTATAGCCAACCTCCTGCGGCTGAGGACTTAATAGCATGGCAATGGCTCCAGGCTCTAAGAGATTCACACTCACCTTTGTCCAGTACATGGGATCTGTCTGTTTCCTCCTCCAGATCGTCTCTGTTGAGGCTGATGGTGAGTTCAATGCAGTTCGGGCTGAGTTAGTATTAGTGGAATCCGATTGGTATGCTGTTATTGAAAGAAACAAAAAAACAACTTAAATATACGCCCCATTCCGGGTTAAGGAACGTCTGATTCTATTTTTTGAAACTCTCCAAATATCCTGGGGTTAAACAGAGAAAGGAATTAAGATCTCATAAAGATGAGATTATGGTATTAGAACAAAATTATGTGACAGGGAACTTGTCCAGGGGAAATAATAATAAAAAGGCAGGATAAGAAGAAGAAGAAGAAGAATTAGTTAAATTTTAGAGAGCTTCTCCCACAATCAGTAATGTCTCCCCAAATACCGAACTTGACATCTCAGTACAGGTCCCTCTGGGTTGTAAGCATCAGGTACCTGAAAAACAGGAAGACAAAAGTCAAAGACTTTCCCCTGTACCGTCTTCTCTCCGTTACTACACACGCTCAAGACATCTGCCAACCTTACTGCATGAGCGTAAATTGCTTCATTTCACTGCGAGGTGATTTCAATGGAACATGAATTTGGCTGAAAGCACCAGCTACTAGCTACCCTGAAATGATCCGTTTTGCTGTCTGACAATAATCTGAATGGACTGTACGCTTTTCCTTCCTAAAAGCCTGTACAGTTTTAACTATTTCACCTTAATTAATGGTGATCAAACTGCCTTAACAAGAACATGATTTATTTTAAAAACAAGTCTCTTTTCCTGGGAGAGAGCAGTGCTGAATGGCTACGCTTGTTTCTTCATGCTCAAAATCAGGGTAGAGTTATGCCTGATTTCAGTTTTTTAAGTACACTAACCTCATTCCACTGATGTTTGCTATGTGATTACAGAGGATGTTAAGACAAACATTATTGAATAACAAGAATGTTTTCATTTTGCTCCGAGAATATTTCGTCTCAGTTTTTTGTCTTCGATTTTCATTTATTTCATTTGATAATCGAAATAAGAGAAGGAAGAAAAAATAGAGACAAACTTTCCTTGCATGTGTACGTTTATTGCATGCGGTGTATAATAAAGGTTTATGTAGCAGAACCCACTGTCATAAATTTGGTGACAATGAAATTGAGTTAAGAATGAAGAAGGAAAGGTCACATCCTTTCAAAGCACTGCAGCTTGCAAAACTGCAATTCCAGTTTTAGTGAAGGAACCTCTTATAGCAAAACTGCTTTGTGGGGAGAAAAAATACTTCACTATATTTGGAAACATGGAGACAGAGAAAAGAATAATTATTTTGCTTGGTTAAGAAAGCTTTTTCTTAAGTATCCGTCAGTGGTAGCTATCCCAGAGACCTTCTGGTTCCATCCTAAACTGACCTCCTCTGAGATAGCCAAGAGAAAAGGTGGGTGAGATAATATCTTGTATTGGACCAACTTTTACTGGTGAGAGAGACAAGCTTCGGAGCTTTTACACAGAGGAAAAAATGTTGTTGAACAGTATTTCAGTGACCATTTCTAAAGGCTTACTTAAGGGAGTTCATGACATATTTTAATGGGCATTCAATAGTTTGTCACATTCATCTTACACATGAAATGTACACAGATATGGTAAAATAATTAAAAATTACAGGGAAGAAGATGTAAAGAACAATATAAGTGCAAAGCATTATTATAAAATGATAAATAGTCTCCATTTTTATTTAACTTCTTCTAAATGACATTCTGGAAAACTTGTTGGTTCATTATTACCAAGCTATTCAAAGTGTTTTCTTAATATCGTGATTTAAGCCAACTCCTGTAATGCTGAGAAATCACTTTATGTGAAGTTATGTCACTATGTAGAATTGCCAGGTTTAAATAAATCTGAGAGTATAAACCAGGAACAATATTTCCTTTCATAATAGATTCTGAACTGGCCTGAACAGGAAACCATCTTCTCATTTGTGAAAATTATAGATTAAAATTTAATTTTACAGACAATTCCTGCTCTGTAAGGTTTGCAGATGTGAGTGGTGACATGACAAGGAACAATTCTGGATAATATATATACTTGTTACTTTTAACAAAAAATAACAATGTTTTGCAAACTGCTCAGGGGATTTAGAGTATACTTTGTAAAAACCTCATGAAACCAAGCCTGGTCTCTGTATAGGCAAACCTCAGAAACTTGTTACAATATATTACCCTAAGGGAGACGCTGGCTTTATTCTCTGACATGTAAATAATGACATAGTGTAGACAATATAACTAGAGATCATACAGGCCTGGTAGAGGTGTAAAGCCTCAAGCATTTTTTGATCTCTTTTGACTAATAGTTTTCCACAACACACATGGACGTGGTGTAGCTAGAATCCATGAAGATGCAGGTAGAAGCTAAAATAAAATATAATTTAGGATTTCTGTGTGACTTTTATAAGTTGAGGCTATGTCTACACTGGCAACTGAACAACAAAACTTTTGTCTTTCAGAGGTTTTAAATACCTCCACCTCCAGAAAGACAAAAGTTTTGCTGACAAAAAGCACCAGTGTGAACAGCTCTTTGTCAGCAGGAGCACTCTCATTGGGGATGGAAGTTTTTTGTCGGCAGGAGAGTGACAAACAGCGGCTACACTGTGTGCCATTTAGCGACACGGCTTCAGTGACACAGCCCTGTTGCTAAAAGCTGTGTAGTGTAGACATAGCCTAAATGTGTCTGCTAATGGCACCTGGACTGAGGTCAATCAGCTAGAAGCTTCCCTAAGACCATTTATCCTTTAATTTACACTGGTGTAAATCAGGAGTATTTTAACTCCATTAGAGTCAGTGGAGCTACTACAGAATAAAACAAGGGTAAGTAGAGAACTAAGCCCTAAGGCTGTTCATCCATGACAATCACAGGTAGATTCCAGATTTGTACATGGAGGGAACGTATATTCACAAGGATTTACATGGATAGCTTGCATTAGTACAACTACCTGCACATCAAAATAAACTCTAACCCTCACCCTTGTAAAGACGGAGATTCTAGCTATGTCATTATGATCATGACTGGCCTCAGCTATACCAGTATAAATGGGGAGTAACTGGAGTTTGCATTTACACTGAGTTAAATGAATCAGGCCCTGTGGAAGCTGTATAAGAATTAACACTTTTACTCTGTTTTACCTTTTTCAGAGCTGCCAAAATGTCCATATGTACCAACAGTAGTTTTCCATAGAACATTGGTCAGATGAACAAAATGTTGTAACAGTATGACAATAATTAATCAGTACAATTAATATAATATTGAAGTGAACATCAGTAGTTTACTTTTGGCAAAAGCTTGCAAAATTGCTCCAGCAAGAAGTAATTTTATTTTTTAAGTTTTGTGTTACATGCAAAACATTTTGCCCACTCCACTAATTGGGTCAGTACATAGACTGCAAGTGGAAGAAATTCCAGGAATTCTGAATCCATAAAGTTAGACACAATTAGACACTGGCCTGAGCTACAAAATTCTGACCTCAAACCATATCTAATGTTTCTAAAATTAGGCTTTGTGGGACTCAAATATGGGGTTTTGGTTCATTTCTCAAATACAATTGAGAGTATTCTCATCTCAATATGTGCTTACAAAACTGTCATTAATGTTCACACACACACACACACACAGAGACAGAGTGCAGGTTAGACCCCACTATTTCAAATTTCAGATTTCTTCTTATGGAACCATCAGTAAACAAAAAAGCCAGAGGAACTAATGGACAGATGAAAAACTGATACATTTCAAAGAATAAGGGGAAAGTAATAAGAAGCAACTTCCTGTACTGAAAATGGATTAAGAAAGCTGTGACAAAGGCAGCTTCCAGTTCCCTCCTGAGCACTTGGTTCCTGTTGCTTTTATCTATTTAGATGGAAGGGGAAATTATTTTTAAAAAATGTAAAATAATAATAATAAAAAAAGTGACACTGATTCTTTACATTTAGGGTGTAAATCAAACCCAAGAGAATGAATGGGAATTTTCCTTTATCCTATTCTAGATGGTTTAGTGGTCTCTTCTGGCCTCAAACTCTATGATTCTATTTTTGTTTTATTATCTCCAGGCACTTGTGCATGAGCAGCACGTGCAAGCAATTCAGGTTTCCATTTACAAAGCACAGAAAATAAGTTTGTCAGCTGCATCAATAAATAAATAAAAATCCAGCCCTTATTATGGTAAAACAGAAGGTAAAATTGAATTTACCTGAGTAAGAATTGCAGAGTTGGTCTCCCACTTTGCTATTTCTCCAATTATGCAATATTTTAAGCAGTTTGAATTAAATAAGAAGCAATCAATCCTTTTAGATCCTTACAGAAATAAACTCTCCATTCATGAACAAGCACAGCTGATAATTGCCCAAATCTTGCTGTCTGTAATTGAACGCTCCACCCTTGCTATTACAGCCAAGGCCATTGTACTCCATAGCCATAGAAACAGCAATAAAATTGCTTTCTCACTACAGATGGAATAATGACCCCCACAAAATGTACCTCTCTCCATTTCCAAATGGTCACCACCTCTGGTTTGGTGTGACTCATCAGGTTATATAACTTTAGGGGACCAGCCTGCCGGCATCAGGTCATGGGGTCAGCAAACTAGGTGGGCATTTTTGGGGAGTCAGCAGGTCTGCATTGGATGGGCACAAACTGGGGGTGGGATTGGAGGAATCCATACCACTGGCCTACTGGTTTTTGGAGATTAAGCAGGAAAGGGGCTGTATTATTGTTCAATGGAACTGCTCTATGGTTGGGAACCCTCTATAAAAATGAGCTGCAAAGGATTTTTTGAATGCTAACTTTACGGCTTTTCTTGCTTTGCTTTTCTCTAATGCATAAAGAAAGCCTGAAAAGTGTTGGTCAAAGAAACAGGGTTTTTAATTGTTGTTGTTTTATTTTTGGCTTTTTTTTATCTTGGAAATGTTAGGAATGTAAAGTCTGTTCTGGCCTTAAGTCATACCCAAAAGAGCTCAATCTATTTAGCTCATCAAAGAGAAGGTAAGGGCAATTTGATCATGTCTGTAATCACCGGCAGAGGGAGAAGATGTCTGGAAGTAGAGAGCTCTTTAATCTATCAGACAGAGGCATAAAAAGGTTCAGTGACTAGAAGTTAAAGTCAGCAAATTTCAAATGGAAATAAGGTACAGTGCATGTAAGGACCATTGGAACAGATTACTAAGGAATGAGGTGTAAATTCTTCATTTCTTGGAGCTTTGAATCAAGATTGGATGTCTTTCTAGCTGACATATTCTAGTTCAGCCACAAATTATTGGTCTGGAGACAGGAGTCACAGGATGCAAGCTAAATTTTGTTACACAGGAGGACAGATTAGATTATCATAATGGTCTCTTCTGGCCTTAAAATCTATATATCTCTGGATACTCCAAGGCATCTTGTCTTCTATATATCAGAATGCATTATTTTTATTGTAAACTATTTGGGGCAGATATTATCTTTACATTTGTGTGCTACAGGTGTTGAATATACTATTCATGCTAATCAAATAATAAATAATAACTTTCATAAGAACATACATAAGAATGGCCATACTGGATCAGAACAATGGTCTATCTAGCCCAGTATCCTGTTTTCTGATAATGGCCAGTGCCAAATGCTTCAGTGGGAATGAACAGGGCAATTTTGAGCGATCCTCCATTCCCTGTTGTCCAGTCCCAGCTTCTGGCAAAGCTTTTCTTTTTCCAACAGATCAAAAGCTAAAAACAGAATAGTGTAATAATATCAGTACATTTACAGTAGAGGCTAAAAAAACCAATGCAATGACTGTGAAAACGACTCACTTACCTTTGCTTTATAAGATGCAAAGTGCAGCAAATTAATCAAGCATCAAGAACACTACAACTGTCAAAAACAAAGGCCATTTAAAATACTTAATAATTTTGATACATATGCTCGTGTTTTTGCTGTGTTGTCTTATGCATTAGGACAGAGAAAACAAAAAATCTGCAGCAGAAATCAGCATCTACTACAATGGGATTTGTTATGTTTTACATACACAAAGAGAGACGTACATCACAGAATCCAACAATACCTGCTATCAGGATAGACCTTTACGTGCTGTGAAATTCTAAAGGTCCTAGACATAACACCTTTTCTTATAAAATGCTCCCAACTATATCTAACTGGCTGCTCTTACTATAGAAAAACATTGCCTGTAAATGGAAAGTCATTAAATATTAATGTCTTGCACTGTTTACTAAGGCTAGACTCCTACTGGCTTCAAGAAGGAATCTTGCCTGAGTACTAAAGCACTGAGCCCATTACTACTGATTAGTGACTGGAAGAAGAGACCCAAATTTTTGCCCAAAACTTGAAATCAGCTTTTTGAGGTTAGAAAAAGGTTGGTTTATGTCTCTACTCCTACTGGTTTCAGCTGGGACCTGAAGAGGAAGTACCAAAATACTGCAAGAAAGACTATTCTCACGGTATTTCTGAACTTGCCAGAACCAAGAAGTACATGAAATCTCTTGAGAAAGTCTCACAAGAATTCCAGATCAATTTCTAGGCCAAAGAGGGGTGACTAGTTTGAACAGGCTAAAAATAAGCATGCAAAATTTAGGGAGGGATTCTGTCTCCACACTAGTCCCCCTGGCCAGCCCTGGTGTGGGAGCATGGTGGGACAGAGATCAGATGTGAGGAAGCATGTTAGGGGTAAGAAAGAGTGGGGGAATAGCACCAGAATGCTAAGAGGAGTTCTGGGCTGCTCTGAGTGCACAGAACACCTTGTGGCTAACTAACTGATGCCAGAGCCATATTGATGGCTTAAAGCCACCTTTGCCTCCTCAGCCCATGGGCTATGCCTTTTGTGCTGTACCTCCAGGAGGCTATCTAAAGCAGAATGGACATGTGAACCTCCTGAGGTTATCAATTCAAAAGGATTAACTCCATCTATCTAGTACTTCTGTCACAATATTTTAAGCTCTCAGCCCTAATGTCAGTATACGTGCCCCCAGAACATTAATGTTTTCCTCATTTACATTTTATGTGCATATGAATTTGCCCCTGATAAAAGTGAAGGGCTCATAAGCAGTTACTACACTGGTGTAAAAATCCTCAATGTAGATAAGCCTTTTCAACCAGCAACCTGAAAAAAATCAAAATTTTATTAATTATTAATTATTATTATTACTCTAGTGCCCAGTAGCCAGAGCCCCGCTGTGCTAGGTGCTGTATAAACATATAACAAAAAGGCAGGCCACGCCTTAAAGAGCTTGCAATTTCAACAGGTGAAGATGCACTTGAAATTCTATTCATATATATTTTGCAAGCCCTCCATTAGAAATGTTTCTAGGCCAGATTCTGTCTTGGGATATGTGCAAAAGCCATCCACTGATTTAAGAGCTGCAATTTTGTACTTGAGGGCTGAATTTGACCAAAAGCTACTTTTACAATTTTGATTATTCATTTCAGTTATCAAATGATGAGGCTCCCAAGAATGCCCACCTATAAAATAAAATTATATGTTGATAGCCCCAAAAACTTTTGTAACACCATTATAAGATGTGGAATTCAAAATCAATATTGTAGTTTTGATTTATATAAGGGAACTTACCAAGTAGGTGTACTAGTATATTTTTTCTTTCATTCCCCAAAACACTGCTCTAATGTGACACTACTGTGAATGATGTAGACACATTGGAAATGCCAACTGTCTTGCAAGTCAAATACCAGAGGATTAAAGCTTATTCATTTTATTTCATTTTAAATGAGAAAGCAAATAAAACTGAGAACGCTTGTTGCAAACTAGGCAGATAGCCATAATGTTCTTGAAAACTTTAGAAAAAGTATATAGGTCAATCTGGTATCCAGGTCAGTCTTGTTTATTTGTACCCCATCTAACCAAAGCTTCCTAGTAACTTTCCCCAACACAATGGATCAGTCCCATGTCCCCCATAAATCTATTTATCCAAATATTTTGGACATCCACAAAACCTTTCAGACAGGTAGGACTGTATTATATTTAAAAAAACCAAAAAAACTAAATAGGCTGTCAGAATCTTCAGAATTTTCAATAAAGCCTCATTGAAGAGCAGTGCTTGATTAGCCATAATTACCAGCACACTAATAACAATAAATAAGGAAAGTTGTCCTTTAGCTCTCAGTCTTGGTTGGCGGAAAAGGAAACAACCTTTGCTGCAATCCTGCAAAGCTGCAATTGATAGGGACGGCTGGTAAAAAAATTAACGATGAGTGGCACTACCTCAGATTACATTTTGATGGAGCTTGATCACTTACCAACTTAGTCTTTTCCTTTATTCATTTAATTAAAATGTTTGTGGATGAAAGTAGTGCTTATTAAGGAGGAGGACTAACACTTAGTGCTCAAGCCAGATGCTGCATATGGTTGCTCCAGACAACTCTGCTGGTGCACCTCAGTCCTGAACAGAGACCTTCAACTATGCTGACCTGTGTGATGGCTTGTAATGTGGACAAATTCCCTGCTGGAGGAGAGATCCCCGATGGTGAAAACATGCTCTTCTTCCCTTTGGAGGTCTCACTGGAGACATTATCACTGCTAGATTTTCAGGTGGCAGCTGTGGCACCTTTTTTTCAGGCCATAGTTGGTCGCAGGTCTGCCAATGTCTCCTCTGACCAAGACCGTGACACAGTCATCTGCATATTTGTGACCATCAGGCTACATTACTGCCATGCACTCTATCTGTTGCCTTTGAAAAGTATTCAGAAGTTTCAGTAGTAGAAAATATAGAGGCTTGCTGCCGTCTCTGCTCTGCCCTGGCTCCAGCTCATTTCTGACGGGAATTCAAGGTGTATATACAGTGCCTATCACACTAGAGACCAAATCTTTGATTGGGGTCTCTGTGTGTTACCTGAAACATAACTCAACATTTCTCATTGCAGGAACTGTGATCCTGTTGATTGATCTCATTGTCAGTTACTGAGTTAAAATCTCTGCTGCTGATGGCAGGATGTTGTCAGTCATACGGCCACATCTCTGGAAGTTATTCCCGCCAGCAGTCTGCTAGAGCCAAAGTTTCGTTAGATCCAGGTTGGGGTTATCTGTTTGCTAAAGCCAGAAGTGCCTTAGGAAGGTGATGGGCCTGGCATACAATGTAGGATGGATCACCTGAAGGATTCCTGATTTAGTTTAGTCAGGGCCCATGTAATCTGGGATGAGGGAATTTGCTACCTAATGCCCCAATTGCTGTCGAATTGTGCAGCAGAATCTAAGATTTTATTTAAATAAAATGTTACTTACGATAACAAAGAAGCCCTTCCTGACATAAACTGTTGTAATCTGATGTACTGCTGTCTTCCTGGGTCTGCCGACATCCAAAAACAAATGCTCCGAGACTTGCGTTAACTCAGTGGGGTGTTAACTTCAAAACCTAATTATGAAAATGTAAATGTCAACATTGTTAATTATTTTGCTGCTTATCATTTTTTGCGGAATCATCTAGCAAATATGCTTATTCTACAAATCAGTCATGACCTAGGCTGCCTTTGATGCAAAACCCTACCTGCCCTCTGCCCAACTGCTACAACCTCCAGCTACTACCCCGATAAAGTCCACAATGCAGGAATGAGTTGTAAGAACAAAAATCTACAGTGCACTGAAAATTTAAAGTCAGGGTAAAATAAACTGAGTTTAAAACAAAATCAAACAGTAAGGAATACTCTGCTGATTCTATTAGTCATTTTCATATTTCATTCAATAAAAGCCTTCCACTTTTTAAAAATGTACTTGAAAGTTCTGCATAATTTCCAGTCTGCAGCTCCAGTATGATATGAAAACCATGGTGATTTGCAGCAGAATTTAGGTCCAGGTTATTGCAAAGTATATGAAACCTTTCCTTTCCTAGCAGAGACTGGGAATTAATTTGTTGCTGATATAGAAGAGCGAGTTACATTGCTAGCTTTTTAAACTGGTATTTGTTATTTTATAAATTTGATTGATTTTATAAATTAAGTGTAAGGCATTCAGGTGCCTTTGTAATGGTTTCCGTTACCAGTTCCTATGGGATAGATTCTGACTCTGACTATACACCCATATAAGGGATTAAGAACCCCTATTTACACTTCAAGAGCTTTGGATCCAGGCATGTAGGAGTAAGGGGAGCCACTCACCTGGATCAGAAATATGTGGAAACTTAGCCCCACTTCTCTAATTACTGACCAAGGTAGCTAAACCAAGCTATGTGTATGTGTGCGTGCACACGCTTGTATACAGGAGTAGTAATTTACTAGTGGTACAGGCCAGAAGCAAGGACCAGATCCTTGAAGGTGTTTAGATGCCCAGTTCCCATTGATTTCAATAGACATTAGGCACTTAAATATCTTTGAAGATCTAGGCCTAAGTTACTAGCTCCCAAGATCAAGGAGCTCAGTTAAAATTAAACTGAGATCATAAAAGAAAATAAGTTTAATTTTGCAGTTGATAGGTTTGTCACAATCCACAATATATTTGTGTATTTATTTAATACAACACTGTGACATGTGACACATTTTGTTGTTATGTATGTCTGTCTTTGGTGCTGCAGGGAAGTTGTTCACAGTTGAATCCAGAAACAGCTCTCAGGGTCTGGACCTAACCGCAGCTCAGAAATTGTGTGCTGACTTGGGCGCTCGCTTAGCCACTGCAGAGGAACTGAGACGGGCTGTAGTGGACTGTTCTTTTGCCGCATGCACCAGAGGTTGGCTGGCCGACGGTACCATTGGGTAAGGAGAATGGAAGCAGCAAAATCCACCCTAACCAGCATGAATGATTGCTCTCAAACAAGCTTTCCCACTTTGGGTAATATTATTACCGAGAAACACTGGGCACAAAGAAATGCTTATGTAACCAAGTCTCAGGTGTTTCATTCAGATAAGCTAACTATGCTGTTACCTTGCACAAAATCAGTCACGTACAGCTGATGCTGCAGAGATGTGAGTGTACATAGATCACCTAATACACAGTTCTAAAATATATTTATCTTCCTTTTAATCTTAGAAATACATTGTTTCAATCAAATTCCCTTTGGCCCACAAAATATCTTGTTTAAATCCAGAAAATATTGAGTAGCTAGCTGTCAATATCTTGGATGTTGTCATTCGCTATTATTTGTTGAATACCAACAGTGTACCAAGCTCTAAAGGAATGTAGGCCCAGATCCTCAATTTAACTCCCATTCTGAGAGTTAGGTTAGGTACCTAAATGCTTTAGAGGATATGAGCCTTACATTTTACAGGCCCAATCCTGCGGCCACTGAAGTCAATGGAAAAGCTCTCATTGACTTCAGTAGTGCAGGGTCGGGCACCCTGTGGACAAAATAAATAACAAACACAGGGTCTGATCCAAAGCCCATTGAAGTCAATGGGGGCCATGCAGCGTAAATTTATTAGTTATTATTAATTTTTATAGTGCCCAAAGGAGTGTTAGGTTCTTCACAAAAACAAATTGAAAGACATGTTCCCGTCATAGGGAACTTACACTTAGAGCTGACGTGATGAGTGCGGTTAACAAACCGGAGGGAATTGGATGAAAAAGGACATTGCTTCAGCTATATGATCACACAGTGACTCAGTTTAGGCATCTTGATGGTTTAGATAACTGTGATAATTGATGGACTTCTTGTGGGCACTGGGAAGAACTACACAATTTTTGATCAGTGGACCAAAATTTACAGGTGTAATTTATCTAGATGGTAAAATTGTTGGGGCAAGGGTGCCAAACTATTGGGCCTAACATAACGGGGACATTATCTCACTTGAGGTCTCTGGGTGTTCATGTTTAAGTGGAGTCACTGTGTGATCATACTGCTGAAGCAATGTTCTTTCTCATCCTATCCCCTCCTGTTTGTTACCCTCACTGGTCACATGATATCTAAGTGTAAGTTCCCTATGACAGGACCATGTCTTTTTATTCATTTCTGTGAAGAACCCTAGTACACCTTTGGGCACTATGAAAATAACAAAACAAATAATAAATATTAAGAAGGGTGTATTAGGGAGAGACTCTCAGAAGAATGTTGAATGCATGGTGGATGAGGTCAGGGAGCTGGTCCCAGACATGGGAAAGCCATATGGAAAAAAAAGCACAAAGACAAAAATGGAAGAAGGGGAAAGACTGGATAGTTATGTCAGGGACAGGCAAGCTGATAAAAATAAAATAGAGTTCTCAACTGTCAAATAAGTTTCTTCAGGAAACAAGAGAGCAGTAAGTTAACACTTCAAAGCCTTTGAATTTCAAGGTGCTTTGCAAACATTCAGGAACCTTCCCAATACATGATGTGAGGTAAGGAAGTATAGTTACCCTCATTTTATAGTTAAGAAAACTGAGACATAGAGACTTATTTAATGGTACATTCTATGTAGTCATTAGCAACATGGGAACAGAGGCCAGGTTTTTTGGCTCCAAATCATGTGCGTTAAGCACAAAGTCATTCTTTCCTTCCCTCATATAGTAAACCATCTGGCCTTCATTTTCAGAGGTCCTGAGCACTCACAGTTCCCATGGACTTCAACAGGAGTTGTAGGTGCTCAGCACTTCTGAAAGCTAGACTTTGAGTGTTTACCATCTTCACAACAAGCAAAAAAGTTTTGTATTTTCCTGTATGATGTATGGATTGGGACACTTTAAGTTAGGTTTGGTTTAATCTAGAGTGTTTTACTATAGTTCTATTGTATACAAAAATAACTAAAATTGACACATGGGAACAGGGACCGATGTACCTGACTGAATAAAACAGGCTGGTGTACAGCCAAGGTCTGCATGGTGGAGGCTCCCTAACAATCCCTCCCTACCCCAAAAAAACCCTGATCCATCCTTCACTCACCCAGACCCAACAACCTTCAAGTTCACACCCAGGCTCTTTCGCAGCAATTACTTCCCTCTCCCTCAGCTCCTCCATTACCCCTGTCTCCCCTAAGCCTTTGCACTGCTTCTGAGGGGTGCAGGAAATATATTTCTGTATTGTAGTTTAAATGAATTATTACTCAAAGTTCTGTATTAATATGCCTAGGTTGGAATCTATTTGTCAAAAAATATTTCCTGAATCTTTTTTGTTGTCTGTATTGTTACAGACATAGTTGCTGACAGGTATTTTGAAATAAATCACCAAAATGATTGAAACTGGCATAATTATATTGTGCTATTTTGACAAATGAAATATGCAGTATTTTAAAATATTGTGCACAGAATTTTTAATGTTTTGGTGCAGAATTCCCCCAGGAGAAGATATAGGTTAGTCTTATCCCTATTTTACAGATGCAGAAACTGAAGCACAGCAACATCAACATGATAATCCCACTTAAGAAAATGGAAGAGTGCAAAATTCTGTCCTCCTGGACAGAAACATAGCCACATTTATTTTTGCATGTAGCACATATCAGTAGATACAATACTATGGCCAGTGGTGCATTATAACAACATAGGAAAGAAACAGTGACTTGCTCAAAGTCACACAGCAATTCCATAGCAAAGCCAGGAACAGAATCCAGGTCATCTGATTCCTAGTTTTGAGAGTTAACCACAAGAACATCTTTCCAACTTGTGAACTCTGCCTTCAGCTGGTTTCTCACCTCTTTAACCTTGCTCTACTCTACTGCTTCCTTCAATTTGTATTTGCAAAGTTCTCTTGAATAAAGTACATTAGCCCATTTACTGTCAGTGTCTAGTGTTGACAAAGTTATGTTTTTCCACAGAATACTGTCCCCTTAAAAGTTCTTAAACTTTAGGGAATTATTAGCTTTGGTGACTGTTATTAGTTATTTTAGATAGCATTGGGCTATGTGCATTTTTAATGATAAAATACAGTTTCCAATTATTTTTTTCCAAAGGATAGAAAATTTTACTACAAATGAAAAAAACTTCAAATGAAAGTAATTATTTCCGGCACTCTTTTTTGTCCAAATGAAAGTATTTAAAATTAATTTTAAAGTTCTTTTGAAATTAAAAAAAAAATCCAGTTTAAAAAAAAAGGAATAAGATAGGTTCCATCACTCAAACTTTCTCTTTTTTTCTCTTACCAACCCAGTCCCTGAAATAGGTTGCAGGCCTGAAAGCCAAGAAAACTATTTTCATCTCTACAATGTACATGGCAGGATTATTAAACGGGTCCTTTTATACAACTTTTCAGTAGTATTAAATGAGGAAGTGGGGTGCGTGGGGTGGGTGAGACAAGAAGTGTCCCCATTCTTCCCTCTAACCACTGTCAGCATTTTAAAGGTGCAAGAAGACAAAAATATTTTCTATTTTCTGAGCCACAATAGGCTGACGGGCTGATCTCAACTGCTCATTGAAGACAATGGTGCTATGACAATTTACACCAGTTGGGGATTTGCCCTGAGTACGTGATTATGAAGAATGCTAAACTATTCATAATTAACAGCAGTTTGCTGCAGCACATCAGAATGCAATAGCTCTGTAGGACTGAATACCAGCAGCTCCCATTAAAATTACTAGGAACTGCTGGATCCTCAGCACTTTTGAAAAATTAGGCCACCTGTTTAGATGTTTAAATAATTTAGGCACCAAACCTTGGTCTCACTCTGTAAAATATTAAGAATACAAAGAACCCCCAAAACAACAAAAGCATGTCTTGAAGCATATGGAATACATGTAACTCTTATTTTATGAGGGAAAATAGGACACTAGGGTCATATGGCAAACCCTGATAGAAAAGTACAATTAAGATGTGTTTCTTAAGAATTAGAGAAAAGAAAACAAAAAATGCAAGTCCCAATGAAGTAAATGGTCGCTCTTAAAACCATTACTCTGCTTTATACCTGAGGGGGGCTCTTTTTTGGTGAGGACTCCCACTGTGTTAGACACTGTATAAAGACATAGTAAAAGACTGCCCCTACCTCAAAGAGCTGATAAGAAAGGGGAAAGAGAGACCCAGAGAGGTGAAGTAACTTGTCCAAGCTCACCCAGCTAGTGAGTGGCAGAGCCAGGAACAGAACCGAGGTCTTCTGCATAGGGCTAGGTGGAGTGGAAAGGGTCTCATTCTCTTCAAGAAGACAATGAAAATTAGGGAAGGAGATGACAGCTCTGGTGGGGATGAAAGGCAGCTGTGGAGAGGGGCTGGGAATGAGTATATTTGCCCTGAGAACTTCAGTACAGAACACCGAGAATGATTATAGGGTTTTCACTATAAAGAATAGCTATTTTATAATATACTGTATGTGAGCCCCACCATGCTTGATCATCAGAGATTCGAGGAAGACAGAATAATCTGTGGGATGTTCATTTTCCAACTTTCAGAAACCTAAAAATAAACACAAAGAAGAGGCTGGAATGAAAACCTAAAGAACATACTGTACCGTGCTGGAGGGCTTCACACAGGGCTTTCAGATTGAATGTTTAAATCCAAAAAGTAGTTGCAAAAGATCATCATGCCTTCAGAAAGCATTGCACCTCTTTCTTCCTTTCATTCACTGGCAGCTCACTTACTGATTTTATTGGGTCATTAATCTGACAGGCAAATATGTCACAAGAGTGTCATTTTGTTGCAAATAGCTATTAGCACTTATTCCAAGATGACAAATGAGAATTACAGCAGGGAGGCTGGAAAACTTAACACCACTTCACTTCCTAAAATATAAAAATGTATACTACCTTATTTCCAGAAGGTGCTAAATATTTTAGAATTCATTTTAGAAATGTTTGTGAGCTTTTCCTTTGAACCCACCAAACACCACTCTAAATCTTCACATGTGAAAAACGGATTTTCAAA